GGCCCCCCCCCCCCCGTGGTTGTGCAAACAAACGGACTTCTCCTCCTCCTCCTCCTTGGCGATGAGAGAGCAGGTTCATCACGGCTGCCTCCGACGGCGACTTGAACGCGGTTAAGACCTTCCTCAAGGACGGCCTGGACGTGAACAGCCAGGACTGGGACAAGCTCACCGCCCTCGTAGCTGCCGCCTCACAGGGTCACCTCAAGGTCGTCAAGCATCTCCTCAACAACGTGAGTCGGTCAGTGAGCGTTATTTTTTTTTTGCTTTCAGAAGCAAATTTCTTACAGGAGTTTTGGTTTGATCAAGGTGGTGAAGCTTCCCCTCCACAAGGTCAGTCAGTCGGTCAAGAGAGGATCGTAATTATTTTGTTTTGTTTTGTTTTGTCTGAGCAGTTTGTCACAGAAACAAATATGATTTGATTGGTTAAGGTGGGGAAGGTTCTCCTCGACGAGGTTACGTACAGTAGTCATTCAAGAGCAAAGGACCAGAACAGCTTTCTTCTGCTCGTAGTATGTGACAAATTGAAGTTCGTCTATATCCTTATGCGTATGCATACGTTGATAGATGGTGTTTACAAATCGTGTTTTTTTCTGTCAGCTTTCATTTCCCCCCCTTGGTAGGATTTGTTCCCAGGGTTAATTTCCATAGTTCCTCTATGGTTGATTCCCATGGATAAAACCCTTCTGTTGTGGCCAGGGACGCGCTTCTCGACGGGTTGCCCTTCGTTCAGCTATGCACGTAGTCTTTACCTAGATTGGCGGGTGCTGGGAGGGCTTTTTCCCAGCAGCAATAGCGGCGAGAACACGAAACAGCCGCAGGACGGAAGCAGTGATCGTAAACAGTTGGCGCCCTCGTGGTTTGAGTCTCCGCACTTCGTCGTCTTTTCCTCGAAAAGGATAGTAAAGCGTGCAGATTCGCCACACGAGCAGCGGCGCTCTTCGACTTGACAGTGAAGACGTTCAAGCGACCATACTCTATGAGCTTCTATCAACTTGGTCTACCCGCCGACCAACAAGTGAATGCCTCGGTGCTTTTTGGTGAAGACCAGAACGAACAGCGTTGCTATGATGGTTATTTTCTGTAGTAAACGTTTCACGTTGCCTTTTGTGAAACATGTCTACAAGATTGGGTGTGATGCCCGTATTGTTGTCGTCGCGTGTAGAACGCCTCTTTTCCTTGGTAGCGCCTCCTGCGCCACCGGTACAAGATCCCTCTATACCAGCGTGATCTATCTACTCCATTCTTGGTGCCAATCGCGACATCGGTGTTTGCGCAAGGGCCCTTGTGTGTATTTGACGCGGTCATCGTCTTGAAAAGCATGTTTTTGTTTTGCCTTCGGGGATTCCCCGTTGGGCTACAATACGAGAACGTGTTCCCTCTTGAGGAGGAAATTGTGCGAGACTCGAAGCCCGCGTAGTGGATGGCAGAGGAAGATAATAAACGTAGACGCAAGAGCGATGATCGTAAAAACTTGGCGCCCTCGTGGTTTGAGTCTCCGCTCCTCAAGTCTTTTTTTGGGAAAGGAAAGTAGAGCGTGCAGATTCGCCACACGAGCAGCGGCGCTCTTCGACTTGACAGTGAAGACGTTCAAGCGACCATACTCTATGAGCTCTCCGTCCCCCCTCTCCACCACAAGTTGTTCATGGTCGGGACAACATTGCATCCTGAAGGCGCGCAGAGCCTGAGCCTGTCTACAGCTGTTTCTCTGATGTTGGTTGACGTGGAAGGAAAGCCGCTTCGAAAAATGTCGGATCGGAAAAACAGCTATCGGTTGTTGGTGCATCCATCCGCCCATCCATAATGACGTGGCGACCGAGGTCTTTTTTCGCGCAACCAACCCTTTTGCTTTGTTCATCGCTCTGTCGGGGTTTGTGGTTTGGCTTGGTCCGTCTCGTGAGAGTGTGATGATATTGGCCTCTTGTTTCGCTCCGAGATCCCCTTTTTGGCGTTTGCATTTGCCGGTCGTGGTAGACGGAGGTGGGCGAAAGGGGTGAAGAACACAGCCTTGCGTGTTTCCCCCCACAAGTCTGCCAGTACCACCTTAGCTGAAGGTACGAGAGGCTCGAAAACATACTCTTAGCAATAAGGGAATGTGATGAAACATACATCTGGGAGATGATTGTAAAGAAGACAGACTGCGGTGTTTATCTCTTCACCGTCTCTGCTCGTTCGCTGTGTGAACGGTAACTCACTTACAGTTTGTACGCATCCCAAATTTGTGTGAATGGCACACGAAGCCATCAGCAGCAGCAGCAGCAGCAGCAGCAGCAAGGATCGCAAACAGTTGGCGCCCTCGTGGTTTGAGTCTCCGCTCTTGCTCGTATTATTTTCGACAAGGATAGTAGAGCGTGTAGATTCGCCACACGAGCAGCGGCGCGCTTCGATCTGCCAGTGAAGACGTTCAAGCGACCATACTCTTTTGAGCTTCTATTTGAGCTGTTGCTGTGCTGCTGTACATCGTGGTTAGCTGAAAGCGTCGACCTCCCTGGCGCCACCACCACAACGATGACCTCCACTCCCACCTACAACCAAGAGGAGTTCCTGGATAGCGATCTCGGAGTTTTTTTTGTGTGAAGACAACAACACGGAGGCGGCAGCAAGCATTCGTGTTCTCCATGTCTACTGGTCTTGTCTTGCGCGATACCGCAGGGCGCCGACGTGAACGCCAAGGACAAGGACGAGATCTCGGGGCTGATGGAGGCCTCCATCATGGGGCACGTGGCTGTCGTGAAGGAGCTGCTTAAGGTAATAGAAGCAGTTTTTGCGAGACAGGCTGGCAGTGTGTCATGCGAAACAGGATTCTGTCGCTCGCTGATATTGAAGCGCCCCCCCCCTCCCCCAATGAAGACTGAGGACTGAGAGGGAAGTGTACGTGACTGAGCTGGGAAAAATAGATGGGCCGTACAGGGAGATGTTTGAGACATGGAATAGAAAGGAAAGAACGGTATCTGTACTGGGGCATAGGAGGTGGGTTGAAAA